TGCTGTATGTCAGGATCAGAACTGGTTTTACTGACAATAGACCTTTTTAAAATAAGTGTCTTCAGTCATTTCTTTCTCATTTGGCTCTGGCCTCTTGGCAGAGCAGCAGAGCAGCAGAGGCACAGGCTGGGAGAGAGTGCTGAGTGTCCAGGGGACTGGCGAAGGCAAGGCAGGAGCTGGGCAGCAGAGCAGTGGGCCAGGAGCAGCAGAGAGGAAGGGTGGTGTCCCTTGTCTGCAGCCCGGGCTGTCCGGAGACTCCCTTCCCTGAGACACAGAGGTTTGATTGTTTGCTTGTTTGTTTTGTTTGTGCTGTGCTTTGTTTTTCTTCCAATTTACATTTAAGTTTATTTTATCCGTGTGTGTGTATGTGCGAGTGGTTTTTGTCTGGGAGAACTGGGCGAGTGAGAGGAGCTGCAGGACTAACAAGGCAGGGGACCAAGGTAAGGTCTCAGAAGGGTTCCCAATGGCAGACCAGGAGATGGCCTTGGCGGAAGTCACGGGTGTTGCTGTCCACTGCGAGAGCTGCGACATGTTTGCCCTTCTCTCCCAGGAGAGGCAGGGATACACTTGCCCTTGGTGCAAGATGCTGACCCTGCTAGAAGAGGAGGTGAGGTGCCTGAGGGCCGAGAGAGCTCTCCAGGCCCCCCAGGAGCAGGCCCCCTCCGGACAGAGGGTTGAGGGAGAGACCACGGGAGGAGCAGCTGCAGAGACATGGAGGTATGTCACCCACAGGAGGAGGAGGCCAGCACGGCCTCCTCCTTCTCCTGGCACCAATCTGGAGCTGGGAAACAGGTTCTCTCCACTTGGGTAGGCTGGGACTGATGAGGCCTCGGGGGACCAGCAGGATCCCCAGCCTGGGATGTCAGGCAGCAAGGGGGCTGCTGCAGGAGAGGCGAGGGCCAGGGCACGGCCGCCCACAAGCACCGGGAAGGTACGGCGGCGGGTGATTGTTGTTGGGGACTCCCTACTGAGGGGCACTGAGGCGGCAGTGTGCCGCCCCAACCTGGAGACAAGGGAGGTTTGCTGCCTGCCGGGTGCACGCATCTGGCATGTGAAGGACAAAGTGGAGCATCTTCTTTGCTCCGGGGGGGTCACCAGCCGCTCCTGGTGATCCATGTGGGCACAGACGATGTGGCCAGGCAGATGTGGTTGGGACCACCAGGGACTTTGAGGCCTTGGGGAAGAAACTCAGGGAGCTGAAGGCCCAAGTGGCCTTCTCGTCAATCTTACCTGTCCGGGGATTTGGGCCAGGAAGGGACAGGAGGGCCTCCGAGGTGAATGACTGGCTTAGGGTGCGGTGCCAGAAGGAACGCTTCAGGTTCCTCGACCACAGCACTCGTTTTCTTGCCAATGGACTTCTGGCAAGGGATGGGTTACACCTCACGAGGATGGGGAAAAGGTCCTTTGGAGATGCTCTAGCAAGCTTCGTCCGGAAGACTTTAAACTGAGCCAGGGAGGTGGGTTCAGGCCCCCAGTAACGTGTCTGCACTGGACAAGTGTTGGGGGAGGATCAGGGCTCTGGGAGCAGGGTTTTAGAGATACTGCAGGGACTGACAGGACTCCTACAGAGAGGGGCCAGGTACCAGGGAGCATGGGAGGAAGGAGGAGGTGGGTAGAGGGATTATACGAAAGGGAAACCTCCGTAGGAAATGGGTACTGGGGGAAATAAACAAAAAGGGTATACCGGGAGGAGGAGGCCCGTTGCAGAAGGATTCTTCGCAAGGCTAAGGCTGATTACAAGCTGAGACTTGACAAGAATATCAAGAGCAACAAAAAGGGCTTCTTGCAGCATGTAAATAGGAAGAGGAAGGGGAGACAAGTGGTGGGACCACTAAATAAGGAGGAAGGAGATGCAGTGACTGATATGAGGGAACAGGCACAGATGCTAAATGACTATTTTGCCTCTGTGTTCTCCCCAAAGCAGGACGGGGGATATCCGCATAGGAGATTAGATGAGGCTGGGGACTTAGGGGCACAGATTAGAGTCACCCCCCTTGAAGTCGAGGGGCTCCTCAGGGAATTGGACATTACAAAGGCGCCAGGCCCTGATGGGTTACACCCGAGAGTACTTAGCGAGTTGGCAGGGGTTCTCTCACACCCGCTGGCCTCCATTTTTGAGACCTCATGGAGAACGGGTGAAGTTCCAGAGGACTGGAGGGTGGCATCAGTGGTCCCAATTTTCAAAAAGGGTAGTAGAAAGGACATGGGGAATTATAGACGGTTTAGCCTTATGTCCATTGTAGGAAAAACAATGGAAAGGCTCATAATAGAGAGAGATCTAGTGATGCTAGATAGGGGAGGGAGGCTGACAGCCACACAACACAGCTTCCGCAAAAACAGGTCCTGCCAGACAAACCTTGTGGAATTCTATGACAAGGTTTCGAGATGGCTAGATGGAGGGGATGCAGTGGATGTGGTATACCTGGATTTCAGCAAGGCCTTTGACAAAGTGCCCCATGATATCCTGGTGGAGAAACTGGGGAGTTTTGGGATACACCAAAGCACTGCCCGGTGGGTTAGGGCATGGTTGACTGACTGAAAGCAGAAGGTAACCATTAGTGGGGAATCATCGGGATGGCGGCCAGTGACAAGCAGGGTCCCCCAGGGCTCTGTCCTGGGGCCGATCCTGTTTAATCCTTTCATTAACGACATGGAAGAAGGGGTGAACAGTCTGCTGATCAAATTCGCAGATAACACTAAAACTGGAGCAGTGGCCACAACTGAGGAGCAGGTACTCCAGATCCAAAAGGATCTAGACAGACTATGTAAGTGGGCAGGAGACAACGGGATGGCGTTCAATGTGGATAAGTGCAAGGGGTTGCACTTGGGGCATAGGAATAGGTGTCATAAGTACAGGTTAGGTGACAAGTGACTGGAGAGCAGCACTTGTGAAAGGGACCTCGGGGTACTGGTTGACTGCAGGCTAAACATGAGTCAGCAGTGTGATGCAGTGGTCAAGAGGGCGAACGTCACCCTTGGTTGCATAGCCAGAAGTGTGGCTTCTAGATCAAGAGAGGTATTACTACCACTCTACACGACTCTGGTGCGCCTGCAACTGGAGTATTGTGTTCAGTTTTGGGCCCCACATTACAGAAAGGATATAGCCAGGTTGGAGTCAGTGCAGCGTAGGGCCACAAGGTTGGTGGCCGGTTTGCAGGGGATGCTGTATGAGGCGAGACTGAGGGAACTGGGTCTCTTCAGCCTGGAGAAGAGGAGACTCAGAGAGGATATGTTGGCGACATACAGGTATGTGAGGGGATGTCACAAGGAGATGGGTAGAGACCTGTTCTCCCCTGCAGAGGAAGGCAGGATGCACTCCAACGGAGCAAAGCTCAGGGAGCCAAGGTTCCATTTGGATACCAGGAAGCACTTCCTGACAGTTAGGACCCCGAGGGTGTGGAATGGGCTTCCACGAGAGGTTGCTGAGGCCCCGTCAGTGTGGGTGTTCAAGGATAGGCTAGATGTCCACATGGTGGGCATGTCGTGAGTGGAGCCGGCTGGTGCCAGAGATCAGACTAGATGGACCGGGAGACCCCTTCTGACTCGCTCTGTTTCTATGTTTCTAAAAACAAATAAATGCAAGTAATCACAGACCAACCAGATCTTCATAACCTTAAGATGAGACAATTCATGTATAAAGAAAACAAAATAAAATTCCATGATCCAGCAAAGATTTATACACACAAGAAAGATTGATCCATGTGATTTTTTCTTAAAAATAAAATAAAAGAGAAATAAAAAGAATAAAGTACACTGAGTTATCCCATGTCCTCTATAAACTTTAATGAAGAATTGCACTCAATATCAAGTTACTATGAATACTAAGACAATTCTTAGCCCAAATGGGAAATGGCCATATCTTAGAGTCAAAGTGCACTAGTACTGCATGCAACTTCCTCCTCCTAGACAATTCTTTGTGAAACTTTTCATGTCGAAATTATGAAGAGAACAATATATCAATATGATTATTTCAACAATGAAATATGTTTTTATCTCAACATTTTCCCTACCTATTTTCAACATCTGTGGTGGCTTAGCAATTCTAACTACTGAAATGTGACCTCTGTACATACATTCTATCTAACCTACACCAGCAATTGAACATAAGCAATTCTAATACTTTTTATCAACAGCTGCTGTTATTCATCTCCCATTCACTAATAACCAGTATTGTCAAAGTTTGTCTTCTACAAGCTGAAGATATTCTCATTACTCAAAATGATATGGAAGCAATACTCAAGACATGACAAAGTAAATTGGGTTTCACCCTATCTTTTTTTCCTTCCTGCGGCTGAGAGAGCATATAGATCGATACTCTTCAGCATGAGAACTCTAGACTGAAATTTTCATCCATTCCAAACAGCAACAAAAAGACCTTAAGCATGCCCTGTCACTTTCGGTTTAGGAAGAAATGCACTAATAAACTCTTACCCCTGGGTCATCTTTGACAATGGGCAATACTATGCCAGCTCTTATTAAAGGCAATTCATATCAGTGGCCCAAAAATTTCCTTTAAAATTACCATCTTTTGTATCCATGTAGCAGGATGTCAGCTTTAAAGTGCCATTGAGATATAGGACCTGTCACTATAGTTAATTTTCAGCACAGTTTTAACACCAGGGTAGTTCCTCCCTGAGGGTATGATTTTGACTAACGAGGTTTATTTGGTGGTTATCCAGACAAACAAGAAAACACTACTACTGCATATTGCTTTTCAAATATAACAGTGAGTAAGGAACTCTATCTACTCAAGCTTTAAACTGATACACTAAGATTTGTGATATGCAAACGGAGTATTTGGAAATATAGAACCTGAATGCACCAAGTCATGATGCTTTTAAAAATGCTTGCATTCTTCCACACGAGATGCTCTTTTATCTCCTCTACATCCATCTACAACCCAGTAGGAGAATTAACTTTCTGCATAAATCTTGATGGAACATAGTGGCAGAACAAGAGTCAAGAATGAATCTCTCAACAACCCAGTAAAGACATCTTACCTCGAACAATAAGTTGAGCAAAGTTGGAGACTCCAGATCCTCTCTCAGACTGAGTGACACACCGATATAAATCCTGGTCTGTTTTTGTCACTTCCTGGAGTTTAAAAGTGGCTGCAAATCGTCTGTGATTTATGTTTTTAGTTTGGGCCACTGGAATATCTTCCCCATTCCGTCTCTGAAAACAATAAAAAGCCACAAAAAAGTTTGGGTGATTAAAATGTTCCATTTTATACAAGCATTCTGACAAGTTATTAAAATGACACCAAATTTCACAAACATGTGCTAACTCTCACAACTTTTTGGAGGAGGACTTCATTAACTCAAATTGTTAATTCACCATATGAAATGTTCAAATATTCCTTTTCTGAAGGAAACTGACAAGATTTAAATAATCTCTTTCACACTGAACTGATCTGAATAGGCAGAGATTTTCCCAATGTAGTAGATGCTTGTGGTGCTGTTTTAAAAATAGCATGCAATATATATTTTTCTGGTCAAACATGTAAAGCAAAGCACCCACACACAAATGATATGAGTGCTTTGTATAAATTGGCACCTGAAGGAAAGGGTAACCACAGCAAAATGCCAATCCTTATGAAAGAGTTATATAGGAAGCAGAAGGTGGCATAATATTCACTGGGTGACTTTGGGCCAGTCAATCAGGTTCAGCCTAACCCACCTCACAGGGCTGTTGTTGTGAGCATAACACAGAGCTATGTAAGCTACCATGGGATTCTCAGATGAAGAAAAAAGGCAGGATATGGAACGTAATAATAATGATATTGCAAAATGGCAAAGCATTCCTGTATATTCTAAGCACGGGACCACACCTGTTAATTTGAAGCAGTTTGTGTTAACAATCAGCTAATATTGCCAGGATTGGTGGGATGTTTTGAACTGTACATATGGGTGACTGAAACCTATAAACGGGAAATTTAGTGGAATTAGGAAAGAAACAATAAAAATGTACACAATAGCAAGTCTTGGAAGACTTAACTCCTTACTACAGAGAGTGAATGTAGAAAATCAAGGAAGCAATCTACAAAATTACAAACTCCTAAAGTATGTAAATTTTCCATGGCTATACCTTCTTATGTCCACAAAATCCTGTTATTTAAGGCAGAACTAAACACTGAATAGTATGTTTTTGGAAAACAGCCACATTTCTTACTGTTCTCTTCCCCTTGAATGATACAGTCAAACACATGGGACAGTATCCTATATTAGCAGGGAAAGCCATCATGACAGCTATTGGTGTTGCACCAAAGGTAGCTTGCACTAGTGCAAAATAATGTATGTTAAACTAACACTGAATTGAATATTTCCACTGAAATGATGTCTCTGGAATGTGGTTTTTCTTCATCCCTGGTTTAGAATAGATCAGGAAAACAATGCCATTATGTCAGATATTCTGTCATACAAGCAGAGAGGAAAATGGGACACAGGGCTGCCGATACTGGTGGAAATGGCACATACACCACAGCACAATTAGAACACAAAGAAAACATAACTCCAAGAAAAACTGATCCAAAGAGTCAAGGTTCCAATATGGTAATGCTATTATTCAAATTCTGTTAGGAATAATTGAAGGCAGTAAACGAAAGGGAAGACTGCTGGATGGAATCCATAAAGGAAGCCATGGCCTTGAAGTTGCAAAGTTGAATGGGTTACATCTCCACAAGGAAAAGTTTGGGTCTATTTAGGTTAAGAAGGAAAAGATGAGTAAAAGTGGAGACAGGTGGTAGAAGTATATAATAATTCTGTGGGTGTGCAGAAAGTAGATAGGGTTCTTATAGGTATACGGTTGGCCACTGCAGGAACAAGGATGCTAGACCTGATCTGCCTTTGGTCTGATCCAGCAGGAGTATTATATTATAGTTTACAGGCTGACCCCAGGTTACAAACATGTTCCGTTCCTGAGAAAACAGAAATTTGTCTTTCAGTCGAATTTATATGTAAGTCAAGTCATGTAGAGTTGCCTGATTCATGGGTGTTAGGCATGCTGGACCCATATGAAAGTGGAAAAACTGTATCTCTACACCACTCCCAACTCACCAGTGTCTCCTTTTTGCAGCAAGGCTATGCTGGAGAGATTTCTCTCTCTGAATGGACAGGGCAGGAAGTCCTGATTTGGAGGCCATCATCTCTCCACTTCCACTTGCTCTCTATGGTGATGCTTTGGAGGCCCTCCCTTCTCTCCCCTTTCACTTCTTCTAACTCTATGGTCATGCTTGGGAAGGCTGTCACTCTCTCCCTTTCCTTCCTCTCTATGGTGAGTAGAATTTTCTGTAGGAATTTTTTAAAATTAAAAGGCTATATAGCAGTTTGTTCATAAGTAAGGTTGTTCATAATTTGGACATCCATAACTCGGGGACTGCCTGTATTTTTCTTGCAGCATATGTATGAATCAGAGTACTGCAACAGAACTCCTCAAGGTCTTAAAACGTGCATACCAATGGTTTGCTATTATCTTTTAGTTTCTCCCTAAAATTAACCAATTTTCAAATCTACCTCACATGCATAATGACGCTCTTAATTTTAATTTAAACTAAATATATCAAGATATACTTCAGAGCTTTCAGTAAGAAGCAACTGCTAGTTAAAAGTTATGAAAACTGTCTTCTGTTTTTCTGGAAAGATTTGAGCAGTTCATGAAGAGTGTTTGAAAGCCATTCCATCATGTTTATCAACAGCAGTGTTATTGGAAAGACTGCCTGATTTTGTAATAAAAGTTTATATTGTGAAAATCAATTTAATTTCCTTTTATCCTACTTACTCTACAGACAGCATTGAGGCTGCTAAGGGATTTGAACGCCACTTCATAGAGATATGATTTAAAATGAGAGGCAAGGCTGGGATACCTATGCAATAGTATCCAAGAAAAAAGTAAAAGCTAGTTTTCCTGGTCATGCTTGAGCAGATGGTCAAGGACCATCTAGGATTCTAGGATTGTACAGACTTTCTAAATTCATTTCCATCTGATTTCAGAACTGGCTTTGCAATTGAAATTGCTTTGGTTACCTTGTGGGATGATCTATGCTGAGTGCAATCCTGTTGATTTTTCAATCCCTTAGCAGCCTTTATGTCAACCGTGATATCCTTTTGGATTGGCATAGGAAACTCTTGCTCTTGGCACTGCTAACACCCCTAGGGAAACCACTTCTTGGTTGTTTGTACCCTGCATGGAACCCAAGGAAGGTGTTCTCCTCCTCTCCATGTTATCCTCACAGCATCAACCCTGTAAGGCTGAGCATTATGGTTAGACTGGTGATCTGTGACTGATCCAAAGTCCCTCAGTGAAGTTCATGGCTAAGCGGGGACTAAAACCCAGATCTCCCAAGTCTCAGTCCCAACACTCTAACCACTATTCCACACTGGCTCTCAAATGCTTCTATTTCAGGGACTAAAGAACTTCCTTCCACTATTAACTGGGAAGCCCTCCTTCCATATTTTCTTCCTTACACTGACTGAGGCCCCCATGCCCTCTCAGTCCTATCCCCCACCCCACCAAGGAATCTGTGCAATGCATCTGGCCAAGATCTTAATGAATGTGTCCCTTCCCCTTACATTCTTACTCCTTGTTCCCACCCCCAGTGTCTCCCCACCTTCTTTGAGAAGTATGGTTCACAATCCAGCAAAATAAACTGGGAGGGGAGAATTACCTAGTGGATGGTAAGATCCCAGATTCTTCCTTTCCCTGGAGAACACTCTTATTTTTTGATGAAGCTTCAGGCTACTGGTTTTAGATGGTATTTGCTCCACTTCTGGCTCAGCAAACAAGGCCTCCCCGGAGACAACACAGCTGGCTCACATTCCTGCAAGTTCCAATTCCTTCCTCTCTTGCTCGCTATGGCAGCTTCGTTTTCTCCCCAGAGAATGTCCTAATTGTGTGCTGACACTTTAGAATGCAGGTATTGGTGCATCCTTCTGCATGATACCAACTCTGCTCCCTGCTACTTATTTTCAGTAGCCATTTAAGGTTATTAAGCCAAGGAACAGCTTAATACAAAGACTCAGCAGCTCATGTTTCCCTCAGCAATTCTCTAATTCTTCTGCTGCAAACCAAAATAAACAGATTTTCCCTCAGACTACCAACTTACCAACTTCCTGTCAACTATGTATTAGTTTACTATTCTGATATTTTCTAGACCAACCAAAGTTGAATTTGGTCTAGAAAGTTGAATTTACCTGATGCAGGCCCTACCTGTATATATCAAAATCACTCGTCTCTCTTTTCCACTTCAAGATTTGTTACCAAGCAACAGCTACTGAAACAAACCTTCTAAACAGATGCATTATAATCTGTCACAGAACACACAAAGAAAACTATACAGAACTACAGTTATTTTCATGACATTTCTCAGAATAGGCTGATTGTATTCAGTGCTGTAGATCCTTTATAGTAGTAGCATTGGTTGCTCTATCCTTCCAGCAACCTTTCAGGAGCCTCTACTTTATTCCCCATGCTGTTTAACAATGATATAAAACCACTGGCAGATTAACCAAAGGTTTGAGTTGAGGTATCACCAATATGCAGATGATGCCCATCTCTCTCCGTCTTTCTTCCTCCTTTTCATCAAATCCAGGCGAGGCAGTGGATGTTCCAGATAAGTGGTCAGCCATGGTAATATACTGGATGAAGGCCAATATACTGACGTGCAATCCAAGACAGCTGTACTATTAAAGGGTGGTTCATCTGCTCAGGCAAGTTCTGGAGAGGGTTACATAGTTCCTAAGGGTCGGGTTCACACTTTGGACATGCTGACAGATCTAGCACTGAGACTAGAAACACGTGACTCAGACAGATTTTTATTAGCTCAGGCTGAAATACCACCTGCAGCCCTTCTCTGGATACACACAGCATTGGTACAGCCACCCATGCTCTGGTGGTCTCATTTGGATGTGTTGTACATGCCAGCAAAAGCTTCAGTTGGGCCAAAACAACACAACAAGAGAGGCTGGTCACAGTACAGCAGTGATTTTTTATTTGCAGTGGCTTCCAGTTGATTTCTGGACAAAGTACAAAGTTCTGGCTTTGAACCTTCAAGTCCTTAATGACTTGGGACAATTAACAGAAGGATCTGTTCCTCCCAATACCTACCCAGGACTTACCCAATCCCTAGTAATATGTTTTTATTTAATCTGTAGTATGTTTTTATTTAAATAAAAAATTTC